CTGAAATCTTCTTTGACGCAAGGAGACACATGGCCTCTTCCCGAACCCATACTATACAAAAAATACAAGAAGGAGTTGAAGGAATTCATTAATAGCATAAAATTATAAGACATTCCAGCATAGCTCTTTTATTTAATATACTTCTAAAGTTAGACTTATGTCTTTTATTCTTTATTTTGTTGATACTCAATTGTAAATTTGTAACATTTGTTTATTCTCCGCATAATTTTTGTATTTGATTCTGCCTCTGTTTTAGAGTATTTTGTCTTAGTATATTCTGGTACTGTTCATTCATCTGATACTGTTATTTACTTTATTTAATCGTTTATTGTTATTTATTTTATTTAAACATCTATAAATATTCTCCTTGTAATACAAATTAAGTACCATTCTTTTTAAATATCTTTAGCCAACACATATTGTAATAAGTTATATTTATAGTTATATACTAAATAACACTGTAATGCATATAATATGCTTTTGCATGGTGTATGCACACTTCTAAAAAATATACGCCTCTTCTGTAGGGTTAAAAATTATATATATATATATATATATATATATATATATATATAACTACAAAATAAACAGAAGAAATGAACAATCAATAGTTTATTAAATAATAATTAAATGACCTTAAATATATATTATATATATATTTACAACTTTTCCTTAATCGACCTTTGAGTATTAAATTTAAACTTAACTATTTATTGGGAATAAGATCATTTAATTATTATTTAATAAACTATCGATTGTTCATTTCTTCTGTTTATTTTGTAGTTCTAGCTTTCCCAAGAGGATCCCATGGTTGACTAATAAAAAGAAAATACCGGGATCGAAACGTCAATAAACAGAAAAAATGAACAATCAATAGTTTATTAAATAATAACCTTATTCCCAATAAATAGTTAAGTTTAAATATATATATATATATATATATATATATATATATATATATATATATATATATATATATATATATATATATATATATATATATATTCTTAACGATACTTTAATGCTTAACGCGGTTTTTCCCCCATAACTTTTTCACATAGTGAATATTAAAAGAGTTGGATAGTAAAACAAGGATAAAAACGTGAGACAAAAATTTGTTTTTTTCAAAATCAGCTATTATTGAGCTGGATATCTTGGAAACGTTACAAGATAGCAGAAAAATGAATATCATCAATATTGTTGAAAATTCTATCAGCTTTAATTGTTGATTTATAGTTGGTTCCCCCGATATGATCGTCAAACCAAAAAAAGTGATGTTCTAGAAGCACCCGCCCTCCACATCCGACTCAACTCCCACCAGCGGGGACTATTTGCATTAGAGTTGCCCAAATGCGAGACCAAGGCCAGTCTTGGTCTTGCAAACTCTGTCTTGGTCTTGTGCAAGAGTCTTGCAGTTACCTATTAGCTTATTATTATAGAGATATTACTGGACATTTTTCAAATAGTGAAAACCTAACTAAGCCCTTTAGAGTTAAATGCAAAAGTATATTGGTTTTACTAATTCTTTATATATAGTAACTAAATTTTGCAACTATTTGTAACTATTTTGCCTTAATGTTTATTCATGTACTTCTATAATCGTTCATTGACTGAACTGATATTGAAGATTTGAACATATAAAGAACTGTAGATAGGGGATGATGCTCTATGGAAATCGGTCTTCGACGAATTAATGAAGTGCTAGTTGAGGAACATTATCTTCTACAGCTTACCTAGATGACCTGGCTGTTGTAATGATTCGTAGGATCAGATTTTAAAAAAAATCAAGTTGAGTTGCGCTAATCTGTGAAGACAATTCTAAATAGTTTGACGTCTAATGGGAATAGAATGATATTAGAGTAAGTCAATTTTCTTTTTTGTTTAAAAATTGAATATTTTCTATAAAGTATGTATCTGTGTGATTCATTTATTATCTAAGACCATACATGCTTTAATGCTAGCTTAATACTAGCTAAAGTAAGTAAAATTGTATTCTTGAAAAGGAAAAAAGTGTATGTTTTTTCATCTTATGTTTTGGATTTGGTCTTGCAAAGGTTTTCACTTTTTTACTAGTTTCACTGTTACAAGATACAGTCCCAAGTTTTTATTATTTTATTGTATTTATTTATGTAACACTTATTATTAGGTTGCAAGTTCAAATTTTCAATTTTTCAACGAGATCCAAGGCATTTTAAAATAAGACACCAGCTATTTCCACCATTGCAATTGCAATAAATTATCAAGACCAGTTCTAAACTTCTTTCTGCTTAAACTTATAATTTTGCATTCAATGCAACACAGTTGGTAACTGAAAACGAATGATATATTCAGGTTTTTGTAACTACGTATTACAAAGTTTCTGTTAACTAACCATCGATTAATCTTTCTCACATTGTTTAACATACACCAGAGAGGGAGGTTTTACTTTTGAAGTTGGTTCTTTCTTCTACCAATCGAAACAACAATACTGATCAGTCGCAAAAATGAGTTAAAATAAGAAATGAAAAATTTGGACATGCCTTGTTCTTGCATTAACTTGCGATTGCCTATTCTGCAGATCTAAGTCATTTCGTTTATATTTTTGTAATTAAAGAGTATTGATTCAATACCATTAAAACTTATTAATATGCCATGTTAGCTTATTAATGATATTCAATGAAGTATTTAAATGGACATAACTACGTACTCGGGTAATAATCCCTTCTCTAAATTAGAGACGCTCAGGGCTGTGCAGTACCCATCCTTAAGGTCCTTGAGAAGTGGCTGTAGGATGGCTTTGTTTACTAATGATCGGTGACGAGACTAATTTGTCTATAAGGAACTGCTAATCTTTGGAGTGGGAGGATTAAGTGAGAGCTTGCTTATATTAATTTGAAGGTCGCTTAGAGTCAATGGGTATTTGCTTATCTTCATTATGAACAAAGATTCCACTGTTCGTATAATTTTTCTCATATCATTTAATAGAATATCCAACATAATTACCCGACGTTTACTCTAAGAACGGTCCTTAGAGTTACCAGAATGATACCCTTTTATGGATTTTATCAAAGATATTTCCGTTTACCTCCATTTAAAACTTTTACTTAGTCAAATATTGGTTTCAGTTGTAACTTCAATATAAAAAAAAACCTGGTGAGCACAACTTTCACTTACAGCTCTCCTTTGTATAGAATTTATTTTCTGGCAATGTTGGGAAATATAAAATTTTTGAAGTGCACATTAAGCTGAATTAAACCTTACATATGACAAATCATTAAGACCATTAACATTTAAAAAAATATTGTTATTTTCTTCTTATTTTGCTGTATATTATTTTGAAATTACCTTATTTATTTTTTACTTACTTACGTATTCTGGGTGTTCCAGCGTGAAATACCTCTTCAGGTCAGAGCAGAGCTCCACACATCTCTATCCTCCCATTTACCCTCCTGTAGACCTCGGCTGGCCATCTCCTCTCGGACTCCTTCCATCCACGTGGTTCTCGGTCGTCCTCGCCTACGCTTTCCGGGTGGCTGCCATTCCAGGACTCTGTTCGCCAATGCTCTTCCGACATTCTCCTGCAGTGCCCATACCACCTCAATCGCCGTTTCCCGATCCTCTCAGAGACGGTCTGCCTCTACACCTATTCTCTGTCTCACCACTTCATTTCGGACTCTGTCCAGCCTCGTTAACTGTGGACACCTTCTCCAAAATCCATTTCTACAGTCCGAATTTTGGCATACAAGCCAGCATTCATCGACCATGCCTCACATCCGTAGGTTAATATGGACTCGACAATAGCCGTGAAGATACGCCGCTTGTTCGCGTTTGAAATAGTGTCGTTCCAGAGAACAGGATGCAGCATTCTAGTAGCTTTTCTTGCCATCTCTACCTTGTTTCGGACATCCACTTCGGACGTTCCAACATCGTCCAGATAGGACCCGAGGTATTTAAATGCCTTTACTCTTCTGCATACCTGTTCACCTATGCGTAGATCGTCTTCCTCATCTCCCAGTGCCATATACTCAGTCTTTTGGAAGTTTATCCTGAGACCTGCCTCTTCATAAACTTTCTTTAATTGGACAACCACCATCTCCTGGAAAGCGTTTTTCCGGGTCATCACTACATGATCGTCTGCGAAGAACAGGATAAGGAGCTCGTCGTAGTCAAAGTAAACTCCGTAGTCTCTGCTTCGTCTCATCTATTTCTTCACTACCTCATCTAAGTATATCTTGAAAATGCTTGGAGACATACAACACCCCTGCTTCAGCCCTTTGGTTCCAGAAAATGGTTCCCAATCTTCACTCTGTATAGATCGCTTCCGAAGTGTTGAATTGCTTGTACCGTGGATTCATTAATACCCGCTCTTCTCAGTGCTGGCCATATTCTATCCCTAGGAACAGTATCATATGCCTGTTCCAGATCAATGAAGACTAAATGAAGCTCCCTATTCTTCGCCCTGCATTTCTCAATGAGCTGCCGGAGTACAAAAATATTGTCTATACACGTGGTAGTGAAACCAGTTTGTACCACCGATGTGGTGTACTCTCCTTCAAGATTATCCCAGGCAAGTCTCTCGACAATCCTACTTACTGAGCTCTGTACTCAGATGCCGCGATAATTCTGGCGTTGCTTCCTATCTCCTTTTTTAAAGATGGAGCAGAGGTATCCTGTTCGAAGATCATCAGGTAGATCCCTTTCAGACCATGTTCGTCACATTGGTAAGGAGTGTATGCATCTTATCTCCACCGGCCTTTAAAAATTCCATATACAAGCCTCCAGGTCCTGGAGCTGTTCCGCTTTTAGCTCTGCTTGCAGTCTTCCTGTCCTTTACACGCTTATTCAGAACTCTGTAGGAAATCCAGTCCTGGTCCCTGTTTTATGCTAGGTGCTTTTTATATTCTTTTTTGGCCTCCGCCAAATCCGAGACCTCCTCAGACCACCAATCTGGTTGTTTTTTTCTTTTCATCATACCCTAACGCCTCCGAGGCTGCTGCGTGGATGCACTATCTTAAGTGTTTTTATTTTTCCGAAAGATTGCTTCCCTGTCTCAGATCTAATTTTTCCTCTAGTCTGCTTCTGTATAACCTTCCAACACTGTCCTCCATAAGGAGATATAGTTTGTACTTTGGTAAGGTGATACTCTCTGCTTCGCAGCGTCCCTCTTTTAGACCCCGTCCACCTTTCCACGGGAAAAGAATCTTGGTCTGGAGCATGAAGTGATCAGTTCCACATTTCCAACCCCTGAACACCTTAACATCTTCCAATTTACAACTTAATTTTTGTCTGGTGATGCAATAATCCAGTATAGACGATTGGAATCCAGGCTTACCATGTGAATTGGTGCATTGGTGTATGGGCTTGTGCTAAAAGAATGTGTTATGAATCTCCAAATCGAATGCTTCCCAAACATCGATGAGCCTCTTTCCGTTGTCTGTAATCTGAGCCTCTCCATACCTTCAAACAACTCTGCTTCCTACTTGGCGACCCACTCGTGCATTGAGATCACAAATGAATGATGACTTCGTCGCTCCCATTTATCTTCTCCAGCACGAGCCTGAAATCCTCTTCGAATTCATCCTTCACTTGCGGGAGTTCACTATTACCAGGACCTTAGATGCCTATGACTGCGATCTTTCTGCCAAAAGTATCCATATTTACACAGATAATCCTTTCCGATATTTCCTCACAATATGTGATCTCTTCTTTGAGGTGTTTCTTTAACAGAACTTAAAAACCTGCCTTGTCTCTCACATTTCTTCCTAGACCACTCCAGATATGCACATATTCACCTGATGTCTCTTGTCCTTTTCCTTTCAATTTGGTCTCTATGAGTACGACCAGAGCCAATCCTGGTCTCATCCTCTTCACTTCATTCCGCACCTGACATTTTTTTTGGCGAAGCTCTGAATATTCCAAGTACCAAAATGAAAAGTCCGTTTCCGTTTCCAAAGTCTGCTTCTGTTATGACTATCGAAATCCGTGGCGCTTTTCTGACTACTTGTAGCGAGAAGGGTTTTACGTCAATGAGCTGCTGACCCGAATGACAACCCCCAAACTCGAGGACCAGAGGTTTTCTGTCGGGGTCTCTTTCCCTTAGATAAGTTGTCTGCCACGTCTAACGTGCCTTATCCGTCCGGGTTTTTATTCGGAGTCGTCCCTCTCCTAGGTGTCCCCGCTGTGATGAGGGAGTGGTTGTGTATATTTAGAGGCGGCACACACTCGCCTCGTAACAGTCGCCGTCTTAGGGCTCTCTGGAGTATTTTTGAGGATGACCGCACCACTGACCACCCTCCCCCGCCCTGTTGTCGCCTGCTGCTAAGGGTCCGGGAGTGCAAGTCCACTGTCCGCCACCTGTGGTCCCGCCTGGTCCCCTAAGCTCGGGGTCCCCCACATAAGGAGGACAGGTTATTTATTTTTTGATTTTGTAAATATATTGTGAATGTGTTCCCTAAACTCTATAATAAGTGTCCTTAATTGAGACAGACTGTAATATTTATCAATAAACAAGTAATCTATTAAAAAAAGTCTATTTCTTATATCGACGATAGGCAATAAAAATGTATTTTCTCCATCTGCTTTTATAAACCACCTAACTTCAGTCTATGAGCCTTTCAGTTGACAGAATGACTAGCTCCAATTCGAACATTTTTGAGTTATGTCATTTTAGTGATGTTTCTAGTTGGAAAAGTTATATCTATACAGACAGTGAGTAAGGTGATTCCAGAGTAGGTGATTACAGTGTTGAATTATAGAACTGTGAATAAAGGTATAAATTTTGCCACTAGAAATAAACGGCCAATAGATACCTAATTATTTAAATATAATATCATATCAAGAGTTATTAAACTGAAGTAAACGTATTTAAATTTATAAACATGTTCATGTTTCATGTTTCACTCCTTCTTTCACACAAGTTCAATGAAATAGTATTTTAAACAATGACATTGGCTTGATTCGGTGAATTTTAAATACTTTTTTTGTAAACTTAGAAACAAATTTAAAAATTATATTTAGTAAGAAAATTTCATTTAATTTCCTTGGAAACATGTTATTTACGTTAAATAATTTTAGTCTTCTGAAATTATTAATTTTGTATTTTTCGTCACTCTCTGTTACGTTCTACAAATTTATTTATTTGGTATTGTTTTTTTTTTTTTGTTTTTTTTAATTCTTCGCTTTTCAGCGATATATTATACGCATGCATCCTGACTGCTATTTCCGAAGATTTATTTTTAACCTGGATAAGCATTGTTCTTTTTTTCTCCAGTTTCCAATTATCATATTCTTTCAAGCGTCATATTAAGCCATTTTTTAAAGTCACTGTCATTAAAAGAGAGTTAATTTGTTTAAATAATCCATATTAAAGGTACTTTAGAGGAAGACGTATATGAACAATGGACATTTAAGCTCTGTAAAGTGACATCGATGGGGATATGACCTAAATGATACTAAAAAATACTTAATTATACAATGATACACCGAGTTTAATGAAAATCTTTAGAGCCGGTTTTTTAATAAAATTGTAAAAATATGTTTCACCGTTGATATAAAGTAGCACTTCTGGTAAGCCGATTTTAACGAAAAAGTTGCTGTCCCATCGAAACTATATAAAAATCTTAAATACGCAATTGAAGTTTCGTACGATTTTTCGTTTTTGAGCTAGGCTTCACATACACACAGACTATTTTGCGGAACTTGGTTATTTGAACTTAAGGTACTTCAGATGGCGTATTTCCATTGAAAACTCAGATTCGAAAATTATCTCGATCGTAATACTTTCCCTTACTATGCATTACATAGATGAGTGAAAATAATAACCATAAAATATTTTTCTTTGTGAATAAGTAAGAAGTTTAATTTTCCTGGAGAACCTGCTGAAAATCAACTTTGGATGTCTAATTTTCTTTTGAGATACCAATTGTTAGATCCTTTGATTCTATACCATACCACGTACTGCTGATCTATTGATTCAAAACTATTGTTTAAGGATATAATCCAAAAAGACACTAAGCGTTTTTTAGCTGATAATTTTTTATTTTAAGGTTTAAGTGCGTAAACAAATAGTTAATGTTTAAAGGAAGACGAGGAAGAAGCTTTTCAAGTTAATAGGCTAAGGGTTTAAAAAAGAGTTGGAACGAACTACTAAGATTTTTATAAGGAAAAATACTTGAGGTACTCAAGGAAGGAGTTCCGAATTAAAGAAAAAATTATTGTTTCATAACAACCTGAGAAGTGTTCCTTTTGGAGAAAATAATAAGGTTTAATTATTTATTCAGATTAACTTAACTCGATTATACCAGAAATATCTGAACATCCCATATATATAGGACTATTAAAATATTATGATGTATTTTTGGAATAATATAAATGCATTGTTGTAAAAAAAACATTATTGCTAATAAACATTTTGATATACATAGTATTGATAATGTTTTTTGTTAGTGTTGTCAAATAGTCTTGTAACAGAAATGAGCATTTTCACATCTTATCCCAATTTTCTAACTCAACGTATATCTTTCTATGTTGTGATTTCAGTAAGTCAAGCTTTTTGACGAATAGGAAGCGATGACTAAAGGAATATTTAATTTAATTAATTGAAAATTATTTCACTGTAAACTAAATACAATTTTCTTCAAAAGAAAATAGAGTTTGCTATTGTTAAAATAATTTAAAGGGAACTTTTGAGCGGCTAAACGTGGATAAGTTTTGTTTTAAAAAAAAATCATAAATTAAAGGCGGTTTTTTTTATCATTATCCAACTATACTACAGATACTCCACTTTCAGAAAAACTTCTTCGTTTAATAAGCTTTTTCAAGCCCATATTAATTAAATTAAGGTTTATTTGGCGAATTCTTGAGATTCACCTCAAGTAGTGTAAAAAAATGATGTCAACTTCTATCTAGTCACCTAATAGTGCTCTTCTTTTCAGCAAAAATGACTACAATTGACTTTCGCAAAGCTTTTATTTATTTTTCATTTTCTGGCATTTATTTTAATATATATAATTACCTAAATAAACTTTTATCTATAAATTAAAAAATAATTATAATAATGACTTTTTAAATATTTTAACTTTCACTTGGCTATATATCTAATATATATTCTTCTTCATGGGCGCTACATCTCATTGCTGAGTCTTCGCCTCCTCAATCAGTTTCATTCACTGGTCTCTCTCTCTTGCTGCTCTCCTCCACCAAGAAGAACAGCTCTATTATCCGCGTCGACCCCATCCATCCAGCGCAATCTAGGTCTTCCAACTCTTTTTCTTTTTGGACGCGTCAGCATAATTTTGCTGGTTGGACTATTCTCATCCATTCTGGCTACATTACCCGCCCATTTCAAACGCTGTATTCTAATGAACCGGACTACATCCGTATCATTATGTATGCCGGTCAGTTCTGCATTACTCCGCCTTCTCCAATCGTTACCTGAGCGTACTGGTCCATAAATGCGACGTAGTACTTTTCTTTCAAAGACCAATTGGCTGTTTTCGTCAGTTTTGGAGAAGCTTCACGTTTCCGCTCCATATGTGAGGACAGGACGACTCAGCGTCTTGTATAGAGTTGCTTTTGTTTTCCTGGAGATTATGTGATTGCTTAGATACCACCGCAGACCCAAATAACATTTATTTTGCCGCCAGGATCCTCTTACATATTTCCTCTGATACATCATTGTCGCCATTTACTTGGGAACCCAGATAAACAAATCGTTGGACCGTTTCGATTGTGTAGTCACCTATCGAGATCTTAAAGCCACAGATAACAAATCATTATGCCCATTAAAATTACAAAATGTCTATTTATTATATCGACGGTATACCACCAAAAGTCCATTAAAGTCCTCTTTAACTGGTTTTAATAATGAAAAACTCGAATATTTAACGGAAATATTTATTTCAAGGCAAGTCCAATTAAGTCCCGCAAAATGGTCACTGTGTATCTTTGTGTATGTGAACGGTACACAATAACTCAAAAACAAAAAGTCGCACGCAACTGAAATAGCGCATTTAAGATTTTCACTTACCTGCGATGTTACAGAAACCTTTTCGTGGAAATCGACTAATCGGAAGTTCTACTCTACATCATCAATGTTATACATTTTTAGAGTTTTTTTTCGAAAATCTGACGATTTCGATTATACTCGGTATATGAATATAAAATTGGATGTTTTTTAATATCATTTAAGTTTTATCCCTATTGATGTCCTTATTGATCCTTTTTATGTTAAAACTATAATATAATATATACCTAGTAGAGATACATTAAGGACACAGAATGAGAAACGGGATTAAAATATTACAATACCCCAGCATAAGAGATGTAAAATAAGAATAAATAGATACATACAATTTGGAAGAGGCATTAAATTAATTTTATGAGAAAACAATTGCGACGAAAGAAGAAAAAAAATTATTAAATATAACAAATTATTTATATATGTAATACACTACGCAATGATATTGTAAATCATAAACAAAAAACGGAGATTAAGAGAGGAAAGATGTATATATATACAATTGAGAAATGTAAACAATGAAATACATTTAAAATATATATAATCTTGTAGATAGAAAAAAAATGGATAAAAACAATCCCTTGTTTTTATGCATCACAGTGCTATGCCAAAAGTGATACTGGATCTTTCCAACTCATAAATAAAAAACAAAAAATAAAATAATGGTGCAGTGAAAAGGAAACAAAATAAATGAAAAATTATCCTTGTTGCATAATACATAATTAACTAGCGTCTGATTGGATTGTGACGAGGAATTGGAATAGGAGGATTTTGAATGTGGATAAGTATGATGCATGGCGAATAAAGATCAATAAAGGAATATTGAAAGACAATAAGAACAATAAAGACAAAGAAGGAAAGACAATAAAGGAATGTTGAAATGAAGCAGATCTATGCAAAGGAGTGTAAAGGTCAAAAAGAAATCTTGTGAGGCGGGAGTGGATGGATGATTTAAATTGGAGAAGATTGTATACACGAAGAGGGAGGAAAGGAAAGGTAAATTTGGGAATCATCGGCATAGAGGTGATGGCAACAGTGGAGGATTGATTTATGGAGGTCGCTGATATAGGAACTAAAAAGAAGAGGAGATATGCTAGAACCCTGGGCCACTCCTGACGATAGGGTAAGATAGGAAGACAAGGGTTGATTAGGGTTGGCGAAAGCATGTGAACGTTGAGAGAGGAAAGACTGAAACCAAAGAATAGCGCTGTTGGAAAAGGATAATGATTTTAATTTGGTAAAGAGGATGGAATGGTTAATGGTATCAAAGGCTTTGGAAAAGTCAAGGAGTACAAGGGCAGTTAGATTTTTATCATCTATGGCGGACTGAATGATGTTACTTAAGACTAATGATATTAATTATGGCGGATTATGTGGAATAGCCTGGTCGAAAATCAGATTGGAATGGATCGAGTTGATTGGAATGCTCGAGAAAATTGGAAACTTGTGATCGTACTATTCTTTCCAGAAATTTTGGAACGTTGGAAAGGATTGAAATTGGACGGAAATCTTTGGAGAAAGAAGGGTTAGAATTTTCACTTAAAGAACGAACGGTGGTTTTCTTTCATGAGATAGGAAATACTGAGTTTTGGAGGGAAAAAATATCTACAAAAAGGAGAACAGGAAGGATTTCGGGAAAGCATAGTTTGATTAATTTGGCCGGAATGCCATCTGGACCAATATAATTGGAATGTGATTTCGTCACGGCGGATATATGAATATGGTCTGTGAATATATGGATATGGTCTGTGGGCAAGATATATGAAAATTAAAAGTCTTCGTCGTTGAAGGATGTACCAGGAGAAGAGAAGGAAGAAGCAGTAAATGGAGGAGTGGAAGAGGAAGCAGATATACTATATGAGTTTAGATCACCTGGTGAAACTGGAAATACTGCTGTGGGGGAGGATCTAGAAGTTTCGCAGAGGGAGAGTTTACGAAGGAGTAGTCATTTGGATCTGGAATCGGGAGCTGATGGAAATAAGTCGATTTGGCTCGTCCATATGATATATGTATAATATATCATTAGAAAACTGAGGATTTTAGAAAATAACAATATCTAACTTATGAAGTTGTAGAAGGTTGTTTAAAAAACTATATTATAGTACTTATAATGAAAAAGTGAAATATCATATATATTGTTATAGTGGCTCATTTGTCTATTGGTCATGAATAAATTTATCAAAAATTACTATTTAATTGCCTTTGAGTCCATTTTTTGTATTTTTTTTTTGTTCAGGGGAGCCAATTATCCATAACTTTGAACTATTATAATTGGTTTCTTAGCTACTAAATTATTTTTTTTTAAATGGGCATGGTGTCCTTTACCTTCGGGTCACAGAAAAATTTTCATTATAAACTCTAACTCTTCGAATTATAATCGAATACGGTTCCGAGTTTTTTTTTTTTCTTTTTTTTTATAGAATAACTTTAAAGCCATATCCTTCCTATTTTGTATACCATTTTTCTTGCACTTTAAGACAGAACATCCTGAACACATGCCGGGACATGACCTGGAGGGACCAATAAGTGGCAAATTAAAAAAAAAAAGTTACTGAATATATCAATAAATTAGAGATATATTTAATGAATTAGAATTTATGATAAAGTAATGTAAAATTTTCATTTTGTCTTTCTAAATTACATTTTTTTTTCGAAGGAAGGTGGCGCTTGCGACGTATGGCCGAAAGGCGACAAATTTCTTAGGCCACCACTGCCCCTACTCCCAATGGAATAAATTACTTTTGGAATGAATTATTTATCCCAGACAGAGACACATAAAAAAAAAAAAAAGTTCTATTTACGAATTACATTACTAGCACTCAATTTGATTTATTAATATAGCACCTATTTATTAATTAAAGCATCGCAAATATTTTTATGACATATTCTATTTTTCTTCTATCTAAATCAGTTTTTCGATGGCTATCAAAATCCGATAGAAAATCGTAAAAAACTGTTCTAATATTATTTTGATAAATTCCTAATAGTTTAGATAGTTATTTTTATAGTGGAATATAATAATTGTTTCTTATCACTAACTCTTTCTAAAATGTGAAGATACGGTTCTGCGAGAAATTTTTTTTGAACATTTGATTCGGAAAATTTTTTCTAGCCCGTTTAAGGCATGATTAATCTTTAGTAATAGATTAATTTCATTTGTGTTATTTTATATTTTTCCGATTTATATAATAAGTTGTTTAATGCAATATATGGTGAATTGAAACTGATGTAATACTTTTACGAAACTGTATATTGTTGAGAATTCGGCATTTCACTGAAAAATCAAATGATGTAATTGTTATGCCAACTGTAGAGATATCATTTGATTTTTTTTTTATGGTGATTGATTGATGGTACTTTAATTTTATAAAGATAAAAACTTGTTATTACCTTAATTTTAGCCAACTGATATTTTTTGTATTCTTAAGTTTTAAATATCAAGTTAGAGAATCATTTCCACTGATGGTTTATGGGTTCATTTGTTTTATTAGTTATTTTTAGATTATGTCAATAAATTTCAATATACGTGGGATTTGTTGAAGAAATGTATGTCATATTACTAATATATATATTTATTTATTTATAATTATTGAACACATCTACAGATAGGTACAGGGGAAACTTGAAGGGTCTCGGGATAATTCCGGACCATTTAGTTTCACAGCACTGATTCCACTTCCCGTTTGGCACATATGTACTTGGAGTACTCCACTTTTTCTATTAATCGATTACACTGCTCATTTTCCGGGTGGGAGGTAGCTGCTGCCTGGTCTGGATGGTCCTGATGGGTAACCTGGAATTCAGTTGATGATTGTATTAATGATTATGACAGAGTTATTGTATTACTTTATTGTATTTTGTGGAATATACGTACCATTGCCTCCGCCGGTGCCGGTGCCAGTTGGGAAACTGCAAACCATAATTAAAGTCATATTTATTGTCATTTATTGATTATTGAAAAACAAGCTATGGAAGAGAAATTCTTACCCTCCTCCACTGGGTCCTGATGGGTATCCACCGTTACCTCCTGATCCTCCTGAACCTGAACCACCTGGTGCGAATTTGGCCTCTCCTTCGTACTGCACGTCGGCGTTGTATCCTTGGTTATCAGCAGTGTAGCTGACCTTTTGCTTCCTACCATCAGGCAAGAGGACGTTGTATTCTCCACGAACAGTCTGTCCATCGCTGTCGGCTTTGTGGGAGTAGTCGTTACCGCTTTCAGCATCTTTTACCTCGTAAGAAAAGCTGAACGGTTGTGGCTGAAAAATGATCATTTAATGGGTTTTAAAAATATTGTTCAGGAAGAAGAAGAAACGCATTTTGATATTTTCTAAAACAAAGGTGTTTTAGAGATTATTATTCTTGTTGGCTTTTTGGTGATTTGGTTAATCTGTAAATAATCGTACTCTGAGAAGGTCTAACATACCGGTCCGTCGCTGCCATCTCCTCCATTTCCACCTCCACTGGGCCCAGTACCTCCCCTGCCGCCGCCGTAGCCGCTGCCACCGTTACCACCGCTAGGAGGAAGGTATGAAGCTGAAGGAGCATCTGCTGATACCAGGGTCACCAGCCAGACGCAAGCTACGATCTGCCCAATAGATATATTTTAGTAAATATCAATGAATAATGAGTTATATATGAATAATTCAATTGCGATCTCGAACCATGAATAAAACAAAGACTGGACAGTTGACGGAAAGAAGCCAAACTATCCCTTTCATTTCTGAAGGAAACAACCATATCCAAAGGGAACGTAAATTAACGGAACTGGTTTAGCTTAGTTTTTGATGCAACAACTTGAAGCCCAAGCTGTCTATTTTTATTAATGTTTATTGTTTGAAAATTATCATACTAAACCTATCATTGTTGATATTAACGAAAAACTGTCCACTTGTTTCATGAATAACATTCCCATATTGATACTAAATGTTCTTAATAAAATGAATCTTTATTTTGTTCCTGATTGAGATTTGTGATATGTTAATTTAATCTTTCTTTAATAACGTTACATTTATAAAACTCTACATTTTGGCTTTTCATTCTCGAACAGGAGTTGAATAATCCAGAAACGATTTTGGCCCTAACCATATAAAAATGTTAATAGTTATATCCAATGATAGCAAATATGTGCATCCAAATAATTTTCTCATAATAACAATTACCTAGCTAAATCGTGGAGAAACTGAATTGCTTATTAGGAAATAATTGCAAGACTTAGTGAATAATTCAAGCCACGCAATTAGAAAATTATTGGAGTTGTCGGTAATAATTTGACTCCTCTTTTTTCTGCAGCAGAAAAGAATATCAAAAGGCATTCCAGATGGACACCAGTAACTGGATAAAAGCGTGATGTAATGATATTTACGGTGCTTCATGGTGACTTGTAACGTACTCTTTGGTCTTGAGAAACAAGAAGGATGTTGCCTGTTATCTATGATGAGCTGCATCATTCCATGCCATTTATAAATTAACACTATTTTCGATAAACGAAAACTTAAATAATGATTGTAGACTTATGTGAACCGTTTACTAATACTTAATGAACTTCGTAATACCATTATTCTGAACTATCAATATGGAAGGAAAACATATCTGAAAGGTTACTCAAATTATTTAAAATTCGTTTAACAGTTAGGTATGTAATCTGGATATTTAGGCCGTAAGCTATGCGGACATGAAGCTACCGTTGCACAATAGGTTCTCTGTGGTTTGGACTTAATGCAACATTACGTGAATTATATGAGGTATTATCGCACTATTTATGTAATATAAAGGCATCTTAATTCGGGTTCAAGATGTCAATTAAGCGGACACAAGGCAATTGGTGAAGCGCCTTAACTGTTACCTAATCCGTAGTTGATTCAGGTTTGAGCCGGCGGATCGGAACAAAGGTAGCCGAGAACGGTAGGCATTTGAAATGTAAATGCAGGAGAGTCGAGTGTGATTGGAGTGGCCGCGAGGGGAAGCGACCGACGCTTCTAACCCTTCAATGACTTTGGTTACCTCTCTCTTTCGCGACAAGGACTCTCGTTTATAAGTCCCCTAGGCGCTCTGTTACGAAGCAAGTTCCGAATAAATTCCTGTATAGCAATACTGCTGATTATTTCAAAATTGACCTTACTATTTATATCTCTGGTGCTTGAATTATTAGTTTCGATTGGTGAACATTTACAGGTGGAATTTAATTATTGTTTTAGGAAATGAAATAAGTTTGTATTGGCAAGGTTACAGAACGAGTTCGAAAAATAGTTGGGAGCAATCGGTTTTGAAATTAAGTAGGTTTAGCTACAATCCCAAAAGATAAATTGAAAAGTATCATTGGACTTCGTACAAAGCTTTTTATGATAAAATCAACTGACATAAGCACATAAAAATATTTAGATTTTAATTTTTTTATTTAAAAGAAAAAGTTAAATAGAAGCCTATTATTCCGATTATTGTTTAAAATTACAGTGACAGAAAAATTTACTCTGAAATAAAAATTTACATTCACTGTAATAAGCAAGAATTGCAGATGTGACTAAAGTTATTCATAAATGAACCTACCAATATATGCCAATGCACAAAGGGTGTTGTGTTCATTGCTTTGCAAGGAAGTACCGTTGTATTCAACAGTTGTGGAAAGAAAAGTTTTGGCCGAGAATACACTCAACTACCAGTTTTTTCTCTTAATTAATTCTACAATTAAGAGTACTCACTTTGTAGAGGCAATGTGCCCCAGGAGGTTATCCCGATCCCGGGATCGGTCTATGGCTGAATAGGCAGAATAATTAAGTAATTGTCACTACAAGACTCAAACCCGCGACCTTGAGCATAGGACCCCGATTATTGAGTTTCCCCGCTTCTAAATGAACATATAATTATTTAAAATATGGTTTATTTTTAAAAGTCATATTTATTATTAAACACATTAAACTTTTGTTACATGATACCGAAACGTGCTAACCACAGTAAATATTCACAAATTTACAAAAATCATACTGTTAGAGAACAAAATTCCAATATAATATTATAAGGAAATATTAGTTCTGAACATCATATACAAGTTCCTACTCTCTTAGATGTATATAAAAGCTGCTATTGAAATTTAATATAATAATAAATTACTAATTTTATGTATTTTTTAAGATTGAAAAAATAATAATTATTTAATTATAAACAATACTAAATATCGTGCCAAATAAAAGAATTTTTAATATTGATTTTCATGTGCAAGACAACGTTACAGACAAGGCAATGTTAAAGTCTAGAAGAAATATAGATTTATTTATTGAGTTAATTTATATGAATTATAAAAGATATGTTGAATTAAATGAAACCAAATTCTAATATAAATAAAAGTATTTCACTTATTTTATTTCTATCTTATTCTCTCGTGTTAAGTTTGATTATGAATTAGTATTGAATAAAACTTGCTTGAAAAATTAAGAGAAAATACTGAACAAAGTTATGATTAATTCGAATCGGTAGGAACGGTCCAATCCACGCCTTGCTCACGAGTTATACCTGACCAGCAATACTTCTGTTTCTTACTCCCTTTGGCTACTGTGGTCGTGAGAGTTCCAACCCCCTAATTAGTATTCAATATTAATATTGCGGTTATGATATATGCTTTACTTATATCAATAGGCGATATCAAGATATGATTTGATATTTTATTTTGAAAATATTTTAAAATGTTTTTGATTTTAATATATTATCATTTAATTTCTTCATTAATTTGATTGATGAACAAAAAATTTAATATTTTATAAATGTCTCTAGCTTTAGTCTTGAAAGCTTTTATGTATTAACCGTTAAGATATTTAATATCGATCTTTTTTTTTTTTTTTACTACAAATATCAATTTTTTTTTCTCGATAGATATATGAAAGACTTTAAAATTTATTCAAGTTATTTCAAGTATTGTTAAGTTTTCTTTAGTTGTTCCCACCCTTTGAGATGCTACACCTTAGACGTACCTTTACAAGAGGATGCATGTTGCCTAGAGAGGAGTGGATTCTCGAACTACCGACTGTGGCACTTGTATGGTATATATAGCGCTAGGGGATGGGGAGAGCGGGCAAGGCCGCGTAACCCTCTTCTTGGAAGGAGCATCGTGACATCACGACAATATTACACAAGAGACTGCACATCCTCGCATCCCAGCTACCGTTCTTCGGGTTCTTGGGGTTAGTTACTGTCGGATTCGAGCCATTGGGTATCGTCCGGTATTTCAGTCTTCACGAACATCGTGAGGTATTTGGATTTCCGAATAGGTATAGCGATCTGTGACACATTCGGCCATAAGTAATTGCTCTAGTTTTTCGGCTATGGATACTAATTGTATCTAACTTCCTGAAGTGAATATCTTGGTTGGAAATTCTTTAAATGCATATTTTTTTTTTTTTTTTTTTTTTTTTTTACAAAACCTAATCTTCATGTTTTATTGTATTTTTTTAAAAATTTTGCTGCCACCTTGACAAGTTTTTTTTTTCACTTTACTGTAGTTCTCTCGTATTTTAGTATAGATTTTTTCCCTAATATTAGGCCTGTTACTAAGATCACATGGAAAAATCCTGATTTAGTCCTTAATAAAATACGTCAACATTTCTATCTTCATGTTAAGAGCATATTTATCATTTATAGATATTCTTAATGTCTATAGCAATCTCTTATCCAAGGCATATGATGAGCCAAATTTTCAGGATCGTATACCAGATAAAAGACATCATTGATTACTGAATATTTGAGCTAAAGGTAAAGTTAAGGAATTTACTATGGAATTCTGAGATCGAAAGATTAAATTCACCAATCCATTTTTTTATTTTATTCCAAGACTTTTTTTTTTTAAGCCATCATTTAGTTTGGCGGTATATAGAGGAGCTGTCTAAGACAGGCAAGTTAAATTTAAATTAAATATGTATATGTAGCTAAATGTAATTTATATTATTATTAATTATGTTTATATTATTATTAATTATGTCCAGCATTATTGATTTACTTAATGAAAATAGAATTGTTTGAAAGTGAGCCTGAAGTTTTTGACCATGAGTTGTCAATGTACACACACTCACAGATTCAGACAAACCTCTGTGAACAACATCCAGCAAGATTTGATTCGTCGAACCTTACATCTGTGATATCCATATGGTTTTAAGTAGGAACAAGTATGTCGTGTGTTGTAAAATATTAATTATTTATCCTAGAAGTTTATCTAAACAGTCATATTTTCTATAAGATCGTTCAAAAGCTTTCAACTCTTAATCTTTTATAACAATTCGGTGTTGATTATTATTTTATATCCCAAATTTATTTTCGATAGCTATGAGGCTTGGAAGTAACCAATATTACCTTTGTATTATTTGTTTCATTATCGACCTTAACTGCTTCATATTTTTAAATAAGAGAAGAATGGGTTTGCATTCCTAGGAGTCGCTAATCTATTCTATCCAGAGTGTAGAACGTTGAAATTTATTCTATTATTATGAGTCCGTCACGAAATAGAAGTCTACTACTACTGGCAGAACTCATATGGCATTGCTTCGGAATCAATAATGCTAAAATATCATACATATATTTTTTTTATCCTTATGAAATGTTTGAAACGTAGGAACGCGTATGTGTTAGACACGTGTAATACTTATTTGTTTTGGTCAATAAATGTTTATTTTATTCATACTATAAAATATGGATAGAATGTTTGTTCAGATGATAAACGGACGGATAGTTCCGACCCTACTGTAAATTCGATTATTAATAGGCATAACTCGTATTAAAGATTTTCTTTCTAAAAAATAAAAAATAAAATTTCAAATTTATGTTTTATTATAAACTTAAATGCTTGATTTTTTTTTTAAGTGGATGAATATTACAAAAAACTATAAATATTCCGATGGTGGGAAGATTATTCGACGAAACGTTAGATTTCCAACTTCAACATTAAATTATAAAACTTCCTGACTTAAGCAAAAACTAAGAAGTATTGTATCTTTCTATACTTTATAAATGTTCTTCAACTTTTTACAGCAATCCCAAACGGTTGTGACATTTTCACTCTTTACTTAATATAAAAAAAAATTCAAACGAAGAACAGAATCTAAAAAAGGAAGGGAGAAAACATAAAATAAATAAAGGGCATTTCTATATTAGAATCTCCAATTTAATGTTGAATAATATGTCTCCAGCTCGTTTCATTATTCATTAATTTCTTTTTAATTAAATAAAATTTTAAAAGATGTAAGGGCTATAATAATTTAATAAAGTTGTTAAATGGAATGGGATGTTGACATCTGTCAACTGCTGTTAATCAGTCATGGGAATGTTGCATTGTGTTTAAATTGGTCTTGATCTTCAGTCAGTTAATATTTACGGTTAAGTAGTGTAAGTCCGATTCGGAGTCTTCTCAATATGACTTTTTGCCGTATGATATTATAAATTGATGATTTCCATTCCGGTTCTCAATGCCTGCTCTTTCTTAGTTTGTTTTCGTGTGTACTGATCCAGATATGCTTCCATTAGTCAATTAATTTTGAATTTTAAGTGGCTAAAGACCATTGTAAGGATTATCTGAACATTCATATGCTGAAATCCATGATGGATCTATTTCAGCTTCGTCAACATTACAATTTTCTGTTAAGTCACTGACTGTATTCTATAATTAAGACAAATAAAACTACACAATTTGTTCAGTTTAGAATTATTTATATAAATTCTTGTAATTAATCCATAAAGTCAGAAATGTGTTGAAATGTAGAGAATAATAATTTTTTTCGTATTTTTCAGGAACAAGGTCACGTTAAATGGTTTTCTACTATGACTATGTCGATGAGAGCCTTAAATGGAAAGTTCTTACAAAAAGAAAACCAATCGGAGAATTCTGGTCAACTGAATAATTATTCAATGGTCTACAAATCCTTAATATTAATTGATAAATTCTTAATCAGAATAACACTAGTGAACTTAAAGCATGTAATGTTTTTAACAGACTTTGTACCTATATGAAAATCGTTTGAGCGGTCATACGAATATATATATATATATATATATATATATATATATATATTCGTATGGTTCAGGCGGCCAAATATCTACAAGGTCTGTAGAGCCAACCGGAAAAATATATATATATATATATATATATATATATATATATATATATATATATATATATATATTATATATATATATATATATATATATATATATATATATATATGTGTGTGTATATATATTTTTTTCTTTTTTTTTTTCGGTTGGCTCTACAGACCTTGTAGATATTTGGCCTCCTTAACCTGCCTTGTCCACCTCTGCCTATCTTGGGCTACTGCTTTCCAGTTAGCTGCATGAAGCTCAGCCGTATTTTTGTTTATCCTATCTATACATCTGGTTTTTGGCCTCCCACGTGGTCTCTTGCCTACTACTCTGGCATTCATTGTCGTGTAGAGGCGTCCTAATGGATAACTACGAGCTACATGCCCTGCCCATCTTAACCTCCTTGCCTTCATGTCATGAGATATTAACTGACCCGTTTCTTTCAACAGTTCTTTATTGTTCCTTCTCCTCCATGTGTCAAGGTTCTGGTTCCATATAGGTCCTGTTATCCTACGTAGAACGTTTCTAATCTCTCAATTCTTACTTCTAATGTGCCGGTTAGAGCCCAGATTTCACAGCCGTACAGCAGAACTGGCTTAATCACGGCGTCGTATACCCTTATTTTGAGATTTCTGGAGTAGATGGATATATAGATGTATATATATATGTGTGTGTGTGTGTGTGTGTGTGTGTGTGTGTGTGTGTGTGTGTGTGTGTGTGTTTGTGGGTGTTTTTTCTCTTGGCATGACAGATCATGTAGATTTTTTGCCACCTTAACAAGCCTACTCCTTCTCCGCCTTTCTTAGTCTATTTCTTTCCAATTATCTGGACGCAGCTCTATAGCATCTTTGTTTATTTTATCTATACATCTACTTTTTGGCATTCCTCGTGGTCTTTCGCCTTCGATTGAGGCATTAGTTGTTACATAGAGGCTTCCAGATGAATTGCTTCGAACTACATGCCCTGCCCATCTTAACTTCCGTGACTTCATATCATGGGATAACGAATATACATTATAATAGTTTAAGCCCTAATGAATTATAATATTTTGTATCCTTTAAAGAAAGACAATTTTATATTTATTCATCCTTCCGAAAATATTCGTTTTTATTGTTTAAAAAACTTATACATTGTTAATAATGAGCTTAATTCCCAATATAGGCATATTTTTATAATTTGTTGATTTGAAAAGACATCCTATTTCAGATGTCTGGGCAATCATTTTGTTCCCCTCTGCAACCCTCTCTGTAGAATATATCCTTCTACAGGGATGGATGATATCTGCCTGTCTCATGTCTATGCGGACACCATCCTTCCAGCATGATCTGGACCTGACGTGGGCTCTATCCCTCCTAGCGTGTTCCTGTCCGCTTTTAGATAAAACTTGTAGTCTTCCATCCTGACGACGTGCCCAACCTAATTGATTCTCTGCAAATAGGCGAAGTTGGAGATTTTAAAACCTGGTATTTACCATACTAGTCCGTGGTACAGACACCTTTTTTTTATCTAATTGTTAACATCCGCCAGAAACATTGGCAATAAAACAGTGGTAGGTAATAAAAAAGTGATTTTATTTACAAATACTCATGGAATTGGGGCGTTTTCAATCTGGTGGTCGGCAAACTTTTTCTATTCAATTAGGTACTAAAAACTCGTAAATACCCATTTGCTTTCCACTTGGATCGTATGATAATTTGATTACGAATACTAGAAAAAAGGTGGCTTACTAAAATATTGGGTCGTTTCGCCTATATAACCTCGTTATTATTACATTTTGGTAGGTCGCGTTAAATGGCTCAATATTTTTGAAGGCCACAGTTTTCTCGATTTTGGGCTTGAATAATCTTACGATTCAAGAGGAAAGCAAATGAGTATTTATGAATTTTTAGTACCTAATTAAATATACAACGTTTGCCGATCTCCAGAT